TAACAAACTCAGGAATCTGTTTCTTTGCTTCACTGTTCTCGTGCTGAGAATATCACTAATGCGGATCAAAGGAGATACACAGATGAATGCACCTCTTATTTATTATTTGGAAACTACATTTACTGCAGCTGGCAGAGGCAGACATTTTTTCTATTGACACGGAATTTACAGAATCATTTTAATAGAGGAAGACTGCAGGAGGGAGCGGTAAAATACAGGGGGTCCCCAGCAAAAACAAGAAACTTTACGAGTCTGATGAAACCCGCTGGTTTTCCATCAGGCAGTCATGGGGCAGCTCCAACGACCCAGTGGCTGTGCTGGGTCAATGTTATCGAGCTCAGTCCGGCTCGGCCGTGAACGAGCCGAGGCAACGTCGTGCTCTGCTTAAGAAGAAGTGTTATTTTCCCGCTTCAGAAGAAGCGTCCAACGTGTTTTTACGCTTTCTCTGAGACACGTCACGTTGCTAAGTTGTTAGCACTGTGCGCTAACATGTCAATAGTGCAGCATAGCCTGCTGGAGGTTTTAGGGTTCAGATGAAAACACCCGACCTCTCACGCTGCTCACACATCGATCTTAAGTTATCGCTGTTGCGCTCACGCCGTAATACAGTATTAGATGTGGTTAAAGTCAGACATGAAAAAATAAATACATTTTACATAAATAAGTGATGCTTAGCCTGGTGGAGTGAGGAAAACCTTGTCTAATAAGCACTGGAGGAAACCCTGTCAAGATTGTCAACACTCATTTATCTTAATGTTATTGAAACATGTAAACCAAAAAGCATTATATGGAACACTTACCCCTCCCCTCGGGCGTCTCCCCTGGATCCGTGTCCAGAGCAACTGGAAACCTGCGTTGCCAGAGGAAATGAGGTAACGCGAAACATCAGTCACCTTTTTCTAGGTCCAAACATCTTTTGTTTTCCGTGACTTAAAATTGCATTTTTCTTTTTGGGACTCTGGTACATTGTCCTAAAGTTGAAGTGGTAGCAGCCAACTGTTTCTTCTCTGATATGCAAGTGTGTAATGAGTGACGGACCCAGGGAAGTGCGGCGAGACCGACAACCGGATGGTTCAGATAGTTGCTTTCGGTCCAAACCGTGTTATTGGTGGAGATTTTTAGACAAATGCGAGAGAACCACTTTCTTTTTTTAATTTCCACAATATACTTATAGATATGCTATGTTAGAATGTTGTTAAAGGGGCATTGTGGAAGTTTAACAGACAAAACGTATAGAAATAATAAATTTCTTCTTAATACATTCTCCTGCAATGCCCTGGTCTTGTAGAATGAGCCCTGGCAATTTTACTGTGATTGCCTATTTTTCTGTTAAATCACAGAAAAAGAGAGCTGCTCGGGTCAAGCAGGCTGCTTCATGCGCGTTCACGCTCAGGCATAGCCCTCCGAACCGTTCTTTGAACGTTGTTTCAGCTATCATTAAGAATATAAATTTTAGAGATACAGAAGACATTGCTGGTGGTTTAGCTCGCCTAGTAAGACTTTGGGCTTTTGTGCCGAAGACTCGGGTTCCATTCTGATTGTGAACATGGTTGTTTTAGAGTTTATTTTTTACATTAATGATATATTTTTTTATAGTAAGATGCCCAAATTTTTATTGAGACTCACCGAACGGCATTGAATTCACAGATAAAAAAGATGTGGGTTCAACTTTCATTTTGGAACAATTTTTCAAGCAAGGAAAGGGAATGATCTGAGCATGCAGGAGGACTGACCCATCTTAAACCTTTGTCGGCTGTGCTGAAGAGAAAGGTACAGAACCAAATTATTTAATTAATTAGCTGTGCGTTCTCCTGTCCTCTGTCCTCCGGGCCACACACACACACACACACAAGGGACTGTCTCAGCTGTTATTTTCATCAAGGAGTGTGCACGTACAGCATGCGCGCCTCGTGCACGAGCCTCCTATTGAAGCTGCCATCACGCTTTTGGCCTGGAGGGACAATCGCGAGCATAAAAATTCAAAACTCTGTTAAGTCCCTTTGAGGCATGAAAAAAACCATTTTAAGCTAATTTCTTTTCCAAATTTGCTATAGCCACTGTAACAATGTTGACTGAACAGTTTCAACTGAGCTTCTAATAGTGGCATGAAAATATTTGAGGGTAAATCTTAGAATTTAACTTAGATTAATGGATTTTGCGTCAACGTTTCTTTTGTTTTGCCATTTAGATTCTGCATATAGCAACAAAAGGTTTGGTTTATAAACTTAGGAAGATATCTGTGTAAACCCTTAAATCTGTCAATTATGATAAATAATTTACTTTAATAAGAACAGAACTGTATAACTTTTCCTTTTGGCTGAATGAGATATTTTCATTGTACTATTTTTAAGTGATATAATATGCAATCGTAAAGACTTTTAAAACCTTTATCCACAAATCAGAAGAAGAAAATATCTTTTCTACAGCACCTCTCAAGATAAAAATCACAAGGCGCTTCACAAAAACAATAAATGTAAAATATAAAAAATAATTTAGAAAATCATTAAAAATATATTTATAATGAGCAAAAAATGGACATTTGTGATTAAAAAATGTAAAGAAAGAGAGGGAGTGAATAGGAAAGAGGGAAATCAGTGGATCCTGAGGGTGGAATAGGTGGGGAGAGCAGAACAAGGAGAGGGCGATGAAGGTCACACCAAAACCAGCTTGAACAGGTGACTTTTCAGCTGCTTTTTAAATCAGCAGCTTTTGGGCCATTTAAACATCTGCCTGTCACTCCTAAACTCTGAATAATTAATGTGCACAATGAGAAAAGGAAGCTATTAGGGGATTGCAACGCATTTTCAGATTGCTCTTTCCTTCATTTGTAATTTAAGTAAGAAATGGTATTTTTTAGAAACAGTGAAAGTAATTACATAAGCACTGGAAATAATTAATAGAGGACTGTAGTCAGTGTTTGAGAAGCTGATTATTAAAAATAATAATTCTCTTCATAATAATACGTCAATGTGACCTTTGGACAATATTTAATTACTTTAAGGGAGTGAATTACTTGTTTATTCACATTGGATAACAGCAGTGACGTGCGGTGAGGTTCATGGCTGGGGAGGCACTGACTGCTTTGGAATAAATGATCCTGAAATAGAAGCTTGTGTTTTATTTTTGACTTTGAATTAAATGTTTTGTTGGTTTGATTTAGCGCTGCATACCCTTGATACAGGAAGTTGGAGCATGCATTATGCCTGAATCAGTTAATGCGTGTGAGGCAGCTCCGTGAGAGCAGAGGCAGGCTCGTCTGTCTCCCCAGAGATTCAGCAATTTTTACCATGAAACTGATGAAATCATACAGAAAACTAATGTATAAACCAGTCAGTGGATACACTGACTTTATTTTAAATCATTATTAGAATTTTACTTGTCACACTGACAAGGGAGGCAGTGCCTCCCCTGCCTCCTCTGACCGCACGTCACTGGATAACAGCAACACAACTCTGCCACTGACTTGGAACATGGATGTTTTATCTCCACAGATAACACAAGCCCAGAGGATTTCTTCTGTGAACTAAAGTGGCTAAAGCTAACGGTTAGCTTAAACTAGCCGAGACGTTCTCTGCTGTTTCCTGGACGCTAAACCAACAACTGATTTCCCATGAGTTGAATGTTAAGTCACGGTGTGATGTAGACCTGTGAGGATTTTTAATCCTAGAGTTTCACCTTCTGTTTTCTATCAGAAGCTAAGGCAGAGATGGGTGTAAGAGACTATTTTCATGTTCAGCATGCATGAAAATCTCAGAGTGACCAATAATAATCCAAAACAACATTTAAAAATGTTTTTTCAGTGTTCCACACCTTTGAAATCTGCCCAAATTTAGTCTATTGAATTCAGAGGTAGCCATTCTTTTAGTTGGAACCATATTTGTGGTAATACATTTTCTTCTTCACCTGCATGCACAAGCTGTTGTGTTTTTGTCCCTTCTGTTTCATTTTCCTGTAGAAAATGTAGCAAATGCACGTCAGCCATCGTCTGGAAACATTTACAATAGAGCACAGTGTGGCTTGCTTGGCAGCACATCTACAAATCCTTAATCATATTAAATTCCTGTCTTTTGGACTCTGCATTAAATTGCCTGTCTGCCAAGGTGCAGAGGCTGCAGACATTAACCTGGCAAAAATAAGAAAAAGTGTCCTAAAATGGTCTGAAATGCCAGCCCAAAAACCATTCATGGGTGGGGAACTCCTTCTGTCCATCAAAGCATATTAATATAAACTTAGACTCATGGGAATCTAAACTTTTGTATTGTTTACGTAACCTGTTGCTTTAAAGTGACTGAGCCACAAATACTTAAAGTAAATGTCTAAAAAAAGGATCTTAGATTATTTTTGAGTCTGGATTCTAAATCAAACCTAAATCAAACATGTGACCTGTTTTAAAATACAATACAGTGCAGAAGCTGAGTTCTTTCAATATTTTCTGTTCAGATTGTTCAGCGGTGACCATTTTGCCCTCTGAGGAAGGCCAACCCATTTCTTGGAGAGCTGGATTAAATATAGTCCATTTGAAGCTGTTAGCACAGCAGCCTTTTTCAGCCATCCAGGATAGCACAAACAAAAATCTGTGTTTTTATAGAGTGTCACATCTGCTTAGATGATTTCTCTTTACCCTCCAAAAGCATTCCCTCATTTAGACATCCTTGAGTAATATCCTTATGAGTGGATTCAATCAAAGTTTGTTACAGTTGTACCGTGTTGAGTGTTAACTGCAGCCATGGGCCAACTCTTTCCTCAGCTTGGCTGGAGATTTACTGCAGTTTTATGAAACCAATTCACAATGACGTGATAACTGGCATCTCTTCCTGGGCTATATTGTAAACTAAACAAAATGTGGCGAAATGTAAAATGATATTACTGCTGTGCTGTTTTTTTTAATAATTATTATGTGGAGGTGAATAAGGATAGACATGTTCTGCTGTCATTTAATTATATTTTCTCTTATGTATACTGTCCCTTTTGTCTTTTTAAATGTCCCATATGTCCTATAGTGTCTATAAGAGACAGGGCCGACCAGAGGAGGCATTGAATCAGTGTGAAAAGTCTCTGCGGCTGCTGAAGGAGTGCAATAAGCCAGAAAAGACTTCTGCTGTTTATAAGGACATGGCCGCCATTGAACAGGACAGAGGTCAGGTGGATCAAACCATAGAGCATCTCTCCAAGGTGAGTAGCAACACACACTCTTGTACTCTTATTTAGTTGATCTGTCTTGTTGGACATGCGTGTTTCTGACAGGCTCATGCCATTGCTGTGAGTCATAGTCCAGAGGGTCTAGAGGGGGCTCAGATCTCCCACTGCCTGGCCATGATCCTTTCTTCTGCAGCAGAGCCTCATCACAATGGTGAGTTTATTCACTGACAGAGGCAAGGTTACAGTGATTCACACAGGGGGCTAATTAGGATCTAGATGTTGCATTAAGTTCTTTAAGACAGCGGTATAGGAGTCAGGCATACAACAGCCTCATTGATCAGGTTCAGACTTGTCACCAGCTACAAGGCAAATGTGGGCTGAATGGAAGCTATGTGGTGCAAAACATCTGGAAAAAATAAAGTTTTGAGTGTAAAATGGAGCTTATCGGGAATTTTAGTTTTAAAACGAAGGGTTTTGCTATATTATGGTTTCTCTGTGTGTTGCCACAGAGGCTGCAGGTCACTACTTTGAGCAGAGTCTAGGTGCATACAAGAAGTCTGTAGGCCTACAGGATCCAGCCTTCCTTAACGCCCAGGATGACTTCTGTCGCTTTCTTCTTGCAAACGGACGACAGGAGGTCAAACACCATCACAAACTCAACTTACTGCAAAGCAGTTGTAATAAGTGCATTAGGATATTTAATATTTACTTATTTTGTCCAAAAACTGATAAACATTTAAACTTGTGACGCATCTGTTAGAGCAGGAAGTAGAAAGGCTGTTGTTGCTGCAGCCCTCTTGTGGTGGATGAAGGATATAGCAACTTAACTCAACAGTAACCCTTTTTTTTCATAAGTAGAAATGCTAACTGTTGTTTATGCCAGTTTATGCTAATAACTTTTTCCCCAGCTAATGTCATTCACATTAAATGTATCCTCTCAGAAATGTGTGGAGATCCAGAGATCCTCTCTTGACTCTAAAAGATCTGCTTTTGGTGATCGGAGCTCAGAGGTTGCAGAAACGCTCCAGCTGATTGGAAGTGCAGAGATGACTGAAGGCAAGATGAGCCAGGCCCACCGGACCATGTCTCAGGTAATCCCAGAACCCCTGAATATGAGCAACACATGAATAATAGTTATTTTTATCAAACAGGACATCTCCATCAGAGAGGGTTTTAATAAAAGGTCACAACTCGTCATGTTGGGACACCCACACCAGTGAGACAGGTCCAGTCTGAGAAGACCTATTTCCTCTGTCTCTATAGAGCTGTTATCAAAGTTGCATGCTAATCTTGGAAGGGGTGCAGTGTGCAGAGCTACCCTCCCTGGTGTAAAGTATCACAGAGTGACTCTGTGTTTTCTCGGCCTGGATTGAACCTGGCAGATGGGCCGCACGGATCTGGACAGAGAACGACATTTTGCTAAATGAAGTAGATTGAAGGTACACTGACCCCAATTTGAGCAGGATGTCCTTTAAAGGAAAAGTGACATTCCTGTGTCTTTCCTCACTTACATGTTAAACTAAAAATCAATCAGCTTTTTATTAAACATAAAAACGCTTGTTAATCCCATTTTGTGTAACAAGCTGTGGGGTTTTCCCACATATGCTCCACGAGCCCCGTTTCATTTCCATCATGGTAACACACAAGGGAAGGGGTATAGCTTTCTTCAAGTAAAGACATGTCACTAAGTGAAACAGTCCTGTTGCTATGTTGCTTTGTTGTTGTTATCTGAGCTCAAAGGGGGTCCAAGTATGACAGGATGCACCAGGATTCACTATCTGCACCACGTCTCACTCCTAACCTTTCTGAAGTGCCTCAGTCCAGAGCGGATATGTCAGTAGGGTTTTTTTTAATCTCCTGTCATCGGGGCACTACTTGTACTCCGATTGAGTAATGTTTACCTCCCCCTCAAAAAACCCTGTTTATACAGTGGATACAGACCATAAGAGGGACTAAAAACAAAGAACAATGTAGCACATAGATGAAAATGTGACTTTTCCCTCTTTCCTCCTCTGACATGCTGCTGAAAAAAGGCTCTTCCATTACATCAGCCTTAGCAACAGTGAAAACATCCAAGAGGCCAGATGGATCTTTTCCAGATTACCAGTGTTTTGCTTTCCCCAGTGAAGAATTGAGCCATTCCCTCCCTCTTTCCCTGCTTTCAGCATTTGCTTCCAGTTATGTGTAGTCATTGCAGAATAGGGGGACAGGTCTGTGTCAATATCTGTAATCATGTTCATGTGTTTTAACTTTTCTGTGCTTTGAATTTGGTTACAGGATCATGACATCATACGTTCAAGCAATGCTGATGTTTTCTGTTGCAAATGAAGTGCAGGCTTTATTTTAGACTCTGGTTTACAAACTTATCGGATTTCTGGGAGATCTATCTTTCACACGACGCTCCTGAGTGGTTGGCACAGGTGTTATCTAAACCTCGGACAGCTACAGTGGTTATTTTAGTGTGTTTAGTCCATCCACATGTTGCTAGGACGAATGCTTCTTCCCCTCTGAGTATGTGTTGCACTTCTCATCTTCAGGTTACCTCTCACTGTTATATTTGTGTTTGTGAATGTGTGTTTTAATTATAGTGCCTGGAGATTCAGAGTTGGTTGTACGGGCCTCAGCACAAGAAAACAAAAGCTGTACAGAAAGCTGTTGACATGCTCGCGAGGTAACTTAAAGACAAGAGTGATTTGATTTAAAGATGGATTTTGTTTGAATAGCTAATCTGCAGTACGGTTTAAAGAGCAAGTTCACTGAGAAACCAGTTTTCTCTTGTTATTTTTTAAGTGTAATTGGCCACTCTGTTGAAAATACAAGCTGAATGTGTAAATAGTGTTCTTCCTCTTATCTCCTGCATTTGCTGCCGATAGAAAATAGATGGAGAAACGCTCAGATCAGAAAAAGTCATTCACACTGAAAATTGGCGTTGATGAACTGACCCATTTTAGCTCGCAACATGGAAGCCTGATGCTGGTTTAGCTTCTAGAGCAGAGAAATATTGGCTAAAATAAGCTAACCATTAGCATTAGCAACTCCACAACACAGCAGAAGTCCTTTTGTTATTTGTGGAGATAAAGCATCAACATTGCAGAGCAAACAAAGTCGGTGGTAGAGTTTCATTGCTGTTAGCCAATCAGAGGCGAGATGTCCAAATAACAGGCCCACTTGTAGTTCCTGAAACAGAAGCGCCAGAGCTTCTTTCCCACGGAGACTGACTCATATTAATATTGGAAACCACTTCAACTGTATTGAAAAACTAAACGAATTAAGTTGGTCTTTAAGGAACTTTATAAAGTTCATACACAGAAGCAATTCAGTGTGATTTATTGCAGCAAGAACAGAAAACTGCTGATTTTAAAATCAAATTTACAAATGCACAAATAAAATTAGATGTAAGAATGAGATTTAAAAAATACATAGTTAAATGGTGAGCAGTTAAAGTGCAGAAAGTGCAATAAAAATCATTCAGTATAAGAATTCATTTCAAATGAAAGTTTTCAATTTCGATTTAAAAGTTACTAGAATTACACCAGAATGAGGAAGTCGATTCCCTCTGTGTGCAGCACAGTAGCTAAAAGCAGCTTCACCCTGTTTGGTTCTGACCCGGAGTTCTTCCAGCTGACTGCTTCCTAAGGATCTCAGAGCCCTGCTGGATGTATATATTTGAAGGATATCTGACATGTATTTTGTCCCCATGACATTGAGTGATTTAGTGGAGGCACTTTGAAATGGATTCTGTGGTTTACTGGAAGCCAGTGTACAGATTTAAGAACAGGAGTGATGTGCTCGGTCCTCTTACTTTTTTGTTAAGACTGTAGCAGCAGCATTCTCAATGAGCTGCAGTTGCTCCACAGATTTTATGGAAAGGCCAAACAAAAGACCATAGAAATAGTCCAGCTTGCTGTAGATGAACACATGAATGAGTTTCTCTAGTTCCTGTCTGGACATGAGACCTCTGAGTTTTGCTATATGAAGATGATCAAACGCTGATCTGGTTATAGCCTTAATGTGACCAGTGAAGCTCAGGTCTGAATCAGTGACAGCAAGATTTCTGACCTGAGTCTTTCTTTAAAAAGGCAATCCACGTTTAAGTGATGCATCTGTTTATTGTTTGGGTTTCAGCATGCCAGAGGTGACTGAGGCGCAACAGAGGAAACACCGAAGAAAAAAGAAATCTGACACATTTTATGTTGTACCGTCCAGTGGTAACCAGAAAAACTCCTAGTCTCACTCTTAAAATTCCTTTTATTTCATCTCTTCTATTTTGTTTCATTTCAAAATCAAATACCGCTGTTTATGTAAGTATGTGTACAGAATGTTTAAAGACATTTTTGATCCTTCTGTGTGACCAGCACCAGTCCCTGCTGTAAAGGTAAATGTTTCAAACATTCTACTATTTAAGATTTTGTGAAGGATTGCACAAAAAACCTGTTTCAAAAAGAATGTATTTCTCTGCACGTCAGATAAAATAAAATAAAATCTCCAACAAGAATTTCTAATGACAACTTTTAATTATTTATCAATTCCCCAGTTAAGAACTGACAACCAAAACAGTTGTATCATTAATTAAACAGAAATCATTGAAATTACAATTTTTTTTTGGTTTCTCAACATTTACCAAACACAAAGCTTTCCTTATACTTGAATACATTCTTTCATTTACATATTTGTGTTTATGCGTGGAACTGTCAGTGTCACACTGAAATGTGGATTTCTAATAAACGAGTGACATCCTTTTTAACCAGACCTGCTAAAAATGTGTGGAAACGTGTTGAACACAGAAAATATGCATGGTATCCGACAGAATTCACAGTGTTTCACTTCTGCCTTTGCAAACGTGACACGACACAACCATCCTTAGTGAAGACTGGGTGCCACTAAGCTGATGATCCAAAAATAGCTTCAGTCGTAAACACACTTAGGTCAGAGCAAAGTTGAATCCTGTGTGCCAGCACTGTCATTTCATTTCCAACAAAGATGAACAAGCAACACCTGTCAAACACAACATACATTAGAAGCAAACAAGATTACATTTTCACGAGCGGTTCACCATTTCCCCCTCATTTTTTAATGTCCCTTTACTTTTAGTTTTATTCTTGGATTTCTGAAAAGTGAGGTCTAGAATTTCAATTCCAAATCCCCAATTTACCTGTTTAGACCTGAATGTTCATGGTTAAACAAATTTGCACAGGTTCATGTCACAATTAACACAAATATACAGATTTTTGTTATTTGTGAGTAGCTAAAAAAAATCTAAAATATCAAGCAAGTATGTTTTATGCCTTTTTTTTTTTGCCTAGACATTGATCTTCTCCCTTTCCACAAAGCTTTTGGCTACAAGCCTAACTCTGCTTTTTATACATTTGCACTTTCTTCTTAAACTGAATCACAGTCCCCAAGATTTACTGACATTATTTTATTTTGTGGAGGAGTCTAAGGCACAAAAACTCCAATTTGCAAATGGAGCGTAGCACCTCATGACTCCAGAGGGCCTGTGTTGGATCCAGAAGAATCAACAATATGGCGAAATGTAGCTGACTCAAACGTGTTCTTGACTGCAAAACATGCTGTTTAAGCTCAACAGGACAGTTTAAAACTGAAAAAATCAAAGGAGAATGCATAACTTGAAAGTCCGTTAAAGATCAAATATAATAACCGGCAAGTCCTGAGAGGAAAACTGCTGCAGATTTCAGGCTTGGCATCATCAAGCTAATGTTTGTTAATATTAGGTGTTTTTGGTGTTAGCAAAGCAGCAATATAATCAAAAATAATGTTTTTAGCTAAATGAATAATACCATTTAAAGACATTTTGCTTCGTGTTGTCTACAGCCTGCTATGACTGTGGAGCTTCTGTTTCTCCATCTGAAATTATTTCTGGTTACATTTGTTCACCCTTCAAAGGGGCTTTCAAGATAAACTGTTGCAACTCGTTTTTCGTTAGAATTATTCACGGATGTTTCCAAAATATGTGACCCGAGAGCTTGACCTGAGCTTGTCTCAGAATGGCCTCCCTGAACATCCATTTGAAAAGTGAAGGGCTTCTCTGATGGCTCCAGCTGAACGTGCTTCTCAGTGATTTCCGATGTAGACTCTCCCAAGCCTTCGAAACCCCCAATCTCAGCAACACCCTCCTCTCTGGAAACTCTGATGCTGTACCCAGCTCCTGCTCCTTCCTGGAAGGCCTTCCCAAACTCTATGTTGGATGCTTTGAGAGCTTTCATGATTTGCTCTTTGGAAAGATCATCTCCATCATCCAATAGCCCAGAATCTTCAAGGGTTTGAGAGACATTCAGCTCTGCAACTATCGTCATGGTTCCGTTATCGCTTGTCTGTTCAACCTTTTTGACTTCCACATTCTGTGGATTTTCACTGCTCAATTTTGAGAGGAAATCCAGTTCCTCCCTCAAAGGACCTGATACTGAACTTTGAAGTGTCTCCAGAGCTCCCTTCAGCTGCTCTTTGGGCTCCAAAGAGTCCTCTCTCAGGAACTCGAGCACCGACTCTTGCACTATGGGAGAAACGCGGACTTCTTCTTCAATGATACATTCTGGGAAATTCTCTTTGGCAAATGAACGAACACCTGGCTTGTGCTCATCACTTTCCTCCACGATGACTCTTCTCTGAGGAAGGCTTTCATCTTGATAATACCTCTCATCTGACAGGTCATCTACAATGCCATAGTGACCACAGGAGGTTATCCCTCCACCTTCCTCGGTTTCCGAAAGGTCTTCATCTGGTGTGGACACAAAATACTCTCGGAACTCCTGATCTTGGAAGAAATGTGGAGATTCACTTTCTCTAAAGACCTTCTGGACTTTAGCAAACCCACCACTGGACTGGTCCATGACTTCTAGGGAAGAATCCATCCCATCAAGCTCACTTTTTCCTTCACGTGGAACATGATGTGTATTTTGCATCTCCTCGATTTGGAAGTAGGTTGAGGGCTCATAAAAACTTGATCCAGCCTTTTTCTCAACCTCTAATTGTTCGTCACTGTGAGACTCAATAGGTTCCTCAATGATTTGTACATTGACAGACCTATTTTCCAAGTTTTCTTCACCTTGAAGGCTACTTAGCAGATTCTTGATCATGTTTCCTGTTGCTGTATTCTCAATGTCCTCTAGTGACACTTTCTTCACACCTTGGCTCAGGAGTTCATCCAGAGCTGAATCTTTGGAAACATCCAGTTCTTCCTCCACTTTAGACTCCAGGACGATCTGTGTCTTGGTGGTGCCATCCTCCTGCTCAGTTTTCTCCACATGGTAACTGACCTGTGAGTCCCCCGATGAACAAACCTTAGCCTCTAAACCTGCTGGTTTTATCACTTTGTCAATGATCTCTTCGACAGAGACACCGTCTAGTATCTTTTTCTCACCTGAGCTTGTGATAGGCTCTACTCTCTCTTTGTCTTTGAACTCATCATGAGCACTGCCGTTCTCCTTCTTGTCTGACACATGCTGTTTACTTACTGTCTCGGTTTCCGTTCTTACCACTCTTACAGATTGCCTCTCAGTCGTAGCATTGATCTGGTTTTCTGGGGGTACCTGTTTGATCTGCAAGAGTTTTTCTTCTGCCATAGTTTTTTGCACATTTTGACTTTTTTGTTTTTCACTCTGACCACGATTTTGCTCCTTGGTGGTGGCAGGGGCAGAAGCAGCAGCCCGGGCTTTGTTGAATGAGATCATATCCCTTCTAGATGCCGGACTCTGATGGCGAGCCCTCTCTGCAGCCGAAATGGGAGTGATCCTGGATGGACTTGTGGATCCAGAAGAGGGCAAGGGGGACCTTCTCAGGTTTGATGGTGATGCATAACGGATATCCAAATGTTGTCTTGTGGTTAAGGTAGATGCTCTTGGGGTGTAAGGTTGAGGGGGCATCTTGATATCTGAAGCAGAAGATGAATTAATATTTATAAATGATAAACTGTTGAGTATTTCTTGTTTATCTTGGCAGAAGCTAGACATTAGAATGCTTTCTAATGGTTACATATCAAATACAGTACCTATTATTCTTTCCCTATGAAGTTGAGTCACCTTCCTGTCGGCATCCTGCAGGCCAGCTCTTTCACTCTCAAGGAGAGCCCTAATTTGAGGTGAGAGAAAACACATTTAAAGAAAATGAGTCGGGACATCCTTCATTGATATGAAGGTCAAATGCCTCACAAGGCAATGTGCACCATTCAGCTCAGCAATTTCTCCCCTCCTTAAACCAAATCCTGAATCTGGTCTTATAGGGTAGTAGTCAGCAAAACCAAGATACCGATATTTACAGTGGTAACAACTCTGTTGTGTTTAGCTTAAAGAGCTCACCTTTCTTTTATCATGATCCAGCAGAAAAACTAATAGATCTCTTGATAGAACTACCTCACCAGAGAGCGGCTTTCCAAAGACTGACCTAAAAATACCTGACAATGTGGGACTGTCCACACTGTTCCCTATAAATCCCACTGCAGAAGCAGAATTGTGAGACTTCTAAAAACAAATGGCAGTGCTACATCTCTGAGTGGAGGTTCTATGTAATACAAAAACATAACAAGGAACAAGATCCATATACGGTAGACTCGTGCAGGAAAATAAATATCCCATCTAGGGAAGCTTGATACTGGCCTTTTTACCAATATCCGCTATACCGACATTGCGATACCGATATACGTCTTGTCCCTCTCTCATAAAATAAAAAGAAAAACTAAAACATTTTAGGTTACTAACATATATCTCCCACCATACGTGCTTAAACTTCAATTTAAGTTGGTAATAAGAAAAGTGCCATATTTATTTTGTCTCCAACAGCAGCTGAATCTCATTCTCTTAAGTGTGACGCTAAGATGTGTGTTTTAGTTAGTAAAGTGTGTGTATATTTCTGTATGTTGCATCTACAGTGATAAAACATTTATAAAGATCATCATACAAGAAAAGCAAGCCTTGGATGAAGATTTTTGTTTTTGTTGTTAGCTGTCTAGCTACACATACGTGCGATGAGGACAGCGTACGTTCACAGGGCAAATTTCTACCTCACAAGTTGTGCCAAATAAAGTACAATATCTCAAAGACTTTACCTCAAATCGGTCATATTTTAACATTTTGAGAGGGGAGAAGTAGATTAAGAGTTTGATGTATAATATTTTTATGGTATGTAGAAGTTGTGTCAATAAATGACTGAAAACCAATACAGATCATTTCTAATGTTAAATTGTAATGCCAATATCGGCCGAAATTAATGGTAGACAGATAATATCGGACATCCCTAGTCACATATAACCGACTCATTCTCATAAACAACCACTGAGGTGGTTTCAAGTAATGTATAGAGGTCATTAGTTATCGGAATGGCAGCTTCTCATTTTCAAAAGTTAGCCTCTTGGAAGCCAGATGACAAAATCTTTATTCAGTTTCAGGAAGTGAAAACCTGATGAAATTGGAAATAGGATTATGGCCCAATGTCAATACTCGCACTGTGCCCTGTGGTCTTCAGCAAAGTGCACTTGGAGAAAGTGTGCTAAATGTCTTTGAGTGTGTAGTACACAAGTGTGCAAATAATTGCCAAATTGAGACGAAGAGCACCGCGTCATCAATCGCAATGCCTGCCGGGATGCTGGTTGCTGTGAATTTTTTTCTAAAACCTTTATTAACAACTTTCAAACAAACAACCAAACAATTATTTGAAATAAATCTAAAATCATTTCGTCTTTGTCTAAAAACTTTCAGAGCATCAACTAATCATCCTAAAATGAACTAATTTCATTAGAAAATACATATTTTCAGAAAAGGAACTTAGCCTTTTCTCCTGCAGCAATGGATTGTGGGTAATACTCTTCACCCAAATCTGCATTGCTGTGGACTTGGGTGAAGTGCGCATCAAGGGAGCAAAAGGGGCGAGATCAACTTCCGCACTTGAGAATCGAGACACCCTACGCACTTGCCTCCCTGGTCCGGATCGCACAATTGAAGGGCGCAAGGGTGGAAGTGCGAGCATTGGGATTGGGCCTATCTCAGAGCCGAAGAATCGTAAATTAGGTAATTTATGCAAACAAACAAAAAAGTTTTCATAGACACGAGCTTTATTTTTAAAGACAAACAAATGATCTAAATTCTCCCTTCATACGTGAAGGAATAGGGCTTGTGATCACACGTGATTACGCATAGCATTCTGGGATGTCCACGGACATGTTGGAAAGTTGATGAGTGCAAACAAACCATGAAACAAACAGAACTGTTGCAGAGAAGAAGCAGATTTAGGTGAAAGAAAGTGTTAAACAACATTATAAAATCCCAAAAAGGATGTGGAATATGCAGGGATAAAGACGCCGGGGACCGGTATGTGGACAAAATCAGCGTTAAAATGGTTTTGATCCTTATGAAAGAGCCAAGACTGGAGCACCGATGACATATCGTTACCACAGCAGTTCTGCATAAGGGACATTTTCAGCCATCCTGTTTGTGGTATGAGCGGATGTAAACGTCCGGCTGAGAGGTAAACGATTTATTTGTTGGTTTTTCAAGTAAAACAATCAAATTTGTCATCCCATTGAAGAAATGTAGCAAGAGAAGTTGTGTTGTGTCAGTGCACCTGCATTAGTTGGAATGTGCATGTAGCCTCTGTGTGTGTGTGTGTGTGTGTGTGTGTGTGTGTGTGTGTGTGTGTGTGTGTGTGTGTGTGTGTGTGTGTGTGTGTGTGTGTGTGTGATGCTAAACCAGACTGCCTGCTCCATTGATGAAAAGGAAATCCTCTCAGGACCAAAATGTGTGTGTGTGTTTCGTGTGCATGTCGCTGTTGAAGGAAAGAAATGGTGTATAAAAAACGTACACCATCTGTAACTTACCAGAATGAAAATACTCCGGAATGTGATTTTTATTCATCGTATAGCTGCGATCCAAGTGAGCCAACGAGACTTTGTTATGCTAGATGTTTGGTCTTCGTCGCTTTGACTCCAAGCAGGAAAACGGTGAAAAGGTAGCTTGTTTTCCACTTTTATTCCCCTGGCAATCACGTGTGTCACCCCACAACACAGCAACGATTTACTAAAGTTGTGTAATAAATATAACCGATCAACTGAATATTATATTAATTTAAGCCGCAAGAACGAGACTGAGCTGTTTACAGTAGTGCAGCAAGTAAGCCTCCAACGGGGCGGCTGCGTCGGTGATGACGTCACGATCACAAGCCCTATATGGACATCTCAAATGAGAAATTAGTTGGTTTGTTATAATCTGAGACGAGCACATAAGGAAGACTCATTTTGGACCCTGTTGATGGCATTCTTCAACATTCTTTTTAGTATGATGTTTAAAAATACATGCTTGATTTGTTTTATTTGAAAACAGAACAAAGTTTACAAAGTCCTCACCTGTAAGCAGCTACTTCCATGCCCAGATCCATTTTCACCTGAAAAAGATGCTGATGCTCTCTCATTTTCTGTTCCATGGCATCAACCAGCATGTTCCTCTCATGTTCAAGCTGCTCAATAATCATCTAGAAGGAGAGGAAATGTTTACTCTTTATTTCTGAACACTGTTTAATTCAACTGCAGACTCATCACTGTCACGTTAAATGTTTAATCACCCCATGCATGATAATTTAACGTTCTTAATTTAGTTTGATGTTTTAGCACTAATTGGAGATCATCTCTGTTTTTTTTTTTTTTTTTTTTTTTTTTTTTTGTAACTCACCCATTTGTTTGGGGCTCTGACAGTTTAAGGCACCTCATACGGATTTGTCAGTCTGACAGCTAATCGGTTTAAGTGGCTGAAATAATCTAGTGACTGTAAAGACCTTTGGAGGCTAACGCTCACCAGGCTTTTTAATCCATTTATACAGAGGTCAAATGTTGCACTTGAGCCATCATGAGATTTCAGACTTGGTCCTAAAATTAAAATAGTGGATATTTTATTACAACATTGAGTTGATAGCAATAATTTAGCAGCTAGTTCTAAAGAATCAGAGTGATCTATAATTTATTTGTTGCAGCTATGCAGCTAAGAGCAGAGAGGGTGTGGCAGGGAGAGGGGGAGAGGCCACCGCCTCAACCCCCTCTCTCAGTGGGATTAATGAGAGATTGTTCTGTTTTCATTCCCTGAAAGGTGAAAATAAAAATGCACTCTTCCTCACCTGATGTTCACCCAGGTCCACGCGGAATTGCTCCTGCATGTTCATCAGCTGCTCCTCCAGACGCTCTTGGATCTGGCCCTGTTTCACCGCCTCAGTGCGCAGTTTGTCCAACTCGGACGCGTAAAGCATCTTCTCCCTCTGCAGGTCGATCAGCCTCGTCTGGTCTAGTTTAATCGAGCGCTCCATCTCCTCCACCTTCTTTTGGTACATTTCAAACGTCTCCATCCATCCCTCAGACAGACCGCGGGTGTACTCCTGCACTTCCTCTACAGAGACCGCCGGGGCCCCGCAATAAGTTTGCGTGATGATGGGTGCCACCCGGGACTCCACCTGATGCCGGAGATGAGCTACCTCTTGGTTGTGCGCATCTTCCAAGCGTTTATGCTCGTTGTCCAACCGAAGAAGTCTCCCTTGAAGCTCAGTGTTGGTTTTGTGAGCTTGTTGAAGCTCCTTCTCGCAGCCCCTCAGCTCTTCACTGATGTCCCTGCACACCACCGTCTGCTCGCTGCACACACTCTGGACCGCCTGCAGCTCTCGCCATAGCTTCTCCCTCTCCATCTCGGCCTGGGACTTCTCTAAGGACAGCTGTCCCACCATCCGTCTCAGATCCTCCATCTCCGCTTTGCACTGCTGCTCCCATTCCGCTTTCCTGCTCACCTGCCTCAGTTTACTGATCTCCGCTATAAGATGTGTGTTTTCCTGCTCCAGCTGCTTCGTTCTGGACAGGTAGCGGGCAAGTCTGCTGTTGAGCTCATGCAGCTGCTGGTTTTCGCTCTCAAAAGTTCTCTTCAAAGGAAGCATTTTTTATGGTCAAGGCGAATAGAAAGGACTTGTTAAAACTCCCTTGGAGTTATTCGCCTCTGCGTCTTGGGGCAGAACTGTGATGTAATTTTGCGATCAGTACCCTTTGACAAGTGCAGCGGAGGAGGGCGGGTCCTAAGCGCTGCGCTCTTGTCCCTGGCAGATGTGATGCTGCGTTCGTGTGTTGTGGTAAATACACAATCCCGTGCAACAGACTCTTGTTTACAAACTTTATCTATATAATTATCTCTTTTGCTCTTCACAATGATGCGTGAATCCTCTTCACTGACCGAGAGTACAGCTGTAATAGCTTGCATTCATTACAAATCTACTCCATATTGCAAATGAAATGAATGATTTTAAAGTCATGTTTTCCCTGCTTGTAGCAAATGTTGTAGAGTTTTGCTTTTTACTCTCTAGTAGTGCATTTTCTACTCTGGAAAAGTAAATTTTGTGCAGTCATTGCTCTGAAAATTTAAAAGGGGGTGCTTACAGTAGAATCACATACTCCGTTATTGGCAGCAGCATTAGTGTTTACATCCTTTTTATTTAATTAAACATAGATCCTTAAATATTTGAGTGCATCTTGTTTACATGAAACCTTGTCAGTATGTTTTCTAGTTTTAACAGTAATTGGTAAATATATGATCAAGTGAGTTTAAGTCCGTTTACTGATCTTTTTGTTGACAATTCAAGTTAACGTGGTGGACATGAACGCCTCACGGCCACTCAGGCTGCGGGCTGCACGCATTTCTTTAGAGCAGCGCTCCCCCTAGTGGACACATCGTGAGGTACACTGGCTTAAAAACAAACATTTGAAGCTATTTAAAGAGCAAGTCACCCCTTACAAGAAGCGTACCTCACTCCCACTTCATGTTTGAAAAATGCAACAAATGCTGTTGCCTAGCAGACCAAGAGGGTGGAGCCACTAACAAATACACACACTCACGACATTGTGACATCATAGTGTACCAGTTTACATCATAGCATACCTCTTAGCCAATAGCGGTGGCAGATTTAAATTCAAATCCAGTGAAGAGTTTTTACCTGACAACGGCACAACACTGACAGTTTCAGGCAGAAATTTTAAATTTTAACTAAAATGCACTAAAGTGCTAAACTATTGACTACACGTGTATGCAGCACGATTAGACACGCATTTATATAGTTTATCAGAAAAAAATAGTTGATTTGGGGGTGACTTGCTCTTTAAGTTCATATAAATGTGTTTACTTAAACCTACAGTGCTAGCTGCGTTATGATTGAACAGGATATCGTGGTTATCACGGGTAAACTGACATTTTGCTTTTCTATTTACATTTCTTTTCTCAAAAGGAGGGTTAATTTAAAGTACATGTATTTTTCAGGGTGACCTTTCACGGAGTTCTTCGTGAACCCCAGCTGGAAGGCAGCTCAGGTACGGATTCATGTTTGTAAACCGCATTAAGTTTTGTGCTTATTTTCCAGTGTTTGTCAGATCCTATCATTTTAAATAACCCAGCAGGGTTTAAAGATGTCCAGACTGGGAGAAAAAATCAGTATTTACGTGAGGGAGCGACTAGTGAGTTACGTCACAACTCTTCTGATAATTATTGGAATTTGGAAAACGCTCATACCAAAGGTAAACAGAATAAAATGTCTGTATTAAATGGAAGTCATCACATTTACTGGAAAAAATACCACTTTCTGAAATTATCCCATGTTGTATTCACTCATGCTAGGGTTAATTTAAATACATTAATAATAAAAATAGTAACACACACTTCCTTCATCGGAATCATCACTGTCAATAACCACATGCAGAAAAGTAGTCAATTAATGGCACACTTGCTTGCTTTTAGCACCCTCTAGTGCCCGTTATTAATCCATTCTCAGTTAAAGGCACACTTGGTGGTTTTACATGCTTTAGCACCCCCTAGTGTTCGTCATGAATTCTTTGTGTTCAAACCAAAAAGGAAATCTGTCTCCTTACTGTGCACTTACCTTTTCAACACCTCAGTCTAACTGCTAAAAGTTCTCTGCAGTCTTCCTTAGTGTCTACAGGAGTGATTCATCACTAAATTAAACAAATTAGTTGTGTTTATGATCTAAAACATGCAGGAAACGAAACATGCTGGAACCTGACTGCAGCGCTGGTGTGTCAATTTTTTTGGCAGCTCAATTTTTTCTACGTCCAACAGGCGGCAGCCACCAGTCTGAAGTTGCAAATGCGGTATTCTGGTGTAGCGGAGGCAAATTGATGATTTTATCTGTTATGACCACGAAGATGTAATATTCTATATAAATATAAAATATTAATCTGCGAGGTCTTCATTGTAATTATTCAGAAGATTCTAGGATTTAATTCAGAAGATCTAGGTTCTTTGCTTTTTCAGTGATCAACCACACTTTGTGTTACTTCAAGAAAGAGTCAAGTTTATAAAACTAAGAATTTATTTTACAAACAATTTAAAACATGACTAATGAATTAAGCATTTACTGTGAGTGAATGTAACTAAACGTGCTGAAGGAACATATGTGTGAATGCGATATCAGTCAGAGCTTCCTTATCAAAATAAGCTGAGTTCTGGTGAAAAGAATTTTGTTTGCTCTAAGCTATAAAGCGGTTATCATCAAAAATACATTCAGACACAATCTCTCTGTGTTCTACCTCACCCTTTAAAGACTCTCGTCATGGACCTGGAAACTGAAGGTGAAAAACTGTATTAGACATATAATTTTTGGAAATTTTTTGGTTAAATCCAAATGACCATTTTTTGATGTAGGAAATCAGCAGGTAATTTTACAGTCTGAATGCTGATTTTAAAGAACAGTAGAGTTGTAGGATTCTTTCTTAATGCCTGATTATTATTTTATTTTTTAATCACATTGCTTATGACCAAATACTTTGTGGTCCGCCTTGCCCTATTAAAAGTTAAAATGCCTACAGCTGTGTGACTTCCTGTTTTATATAGTTATTCTTTCTACAACTACATGCTTTTTGAGATTTTACTTCAACATTAAAATGTATTTTTTATAAAATAATTCACTGTTGTGCATAAAAATTGTAATAGAAAAATATTTAATGTTATTAACTGATTTGTCAGCATGGAAAGAAATCAAAGATCCACAGAAGGCAATTGAGTTGTTCCTCGGACAACTGAAGCAAGGAGGAGAGCACCAGAGAGCACTTCTGCTAAATCTGGATGCTCGGGACACTGATAGATCACTCCTTTCATTTTACAAGCGGGACAAGATCGAGTGGGCTGCTCCTTTTCGGTGTCGCATTCAAGGTAATACTTCAAAGTTAGGATGAACCACCAATAAAAATACCAGATTAGTTTACCGGTCTTACTTTTTTCTTATAGGAGACGCTGCAGTTGGTAGAGGTGTAACAAGACTCATCATCTCATCTGCCATTTCCAAACTGAAAACAGGATTTAAAATAAACTTTGGCAAGTTGCCATTTTTCTGATGATTAAAGTATCATAAGCACCTTAAACACTCATTTAGACAATCATGGTTGGAAAAAACACAATATATATTTTAATAACCTCACCAGAAATAAATAATAAAACTCTGCTTTTGAACTGAGGAATGTATAGTACATGATTAGGTACTCAGTTATGTATTACCCTTTTCATTGTCTAGGAAATGCTGCAGTGACTGCAATCTTTGAAGGGGGAACTGATCACCTTGTACCAGCCACATCAGTGAGAGGGAGCTTTTTGTCATGGCTGGTCAGCTGATTGGCCACTCAGTAATTAACGGAGGCCCAACACTGTCAGGTCTCAGCTTAGCAGTGGTACATGCCATGACGGGCGGCTCAAAGGAATTAGCCACAACTTACCTTTCCCTAGATGACTGCCCAGATATTGATCACCGGGACTTGGCTTGACTTGACCGGGAGACCATTCGTCTTGTAAGTACATTAAATTGACCTTATTTTCACATTTTAAATGTAACAACTTTCAAAGATGAAATCTAGATATTTTTGGTTCTATTCAGAAACACAATTATGTCTTCCAGCTGCTGAAAGAAGAAATGACTGAGGAAGAGACCTCAAGATTGTCCCAGCTGTGCACTGAATGGTATTTCCCTGTACCCACCAAGAGGACAAATAAACTCATCCTCCTCCAGCAGCTACTCACTCATGCTGTAATACACACGTCCACATCTTTTATATTTTCATTACAGAACCTCTTCTTTTATTAGCTGCAGTAACCAATGTCCTAGTGTAATTTAGAAGTAAGTAATGTTCATATTGTGACGTTTAAAATTTGTAAGCCCTCAGTCGACTCAGTGTGCAAATAAAGCACCTGAAAAAGGGGTTAAAAGAAACTGGTATCTGGCCACTGATTACCTCCAGACCTGATGTGGTGCCACTCCTTTTCCCCAGAGGAAGTGATGTGGAAATCACACCCCAGGTGCATTCACAGAACCTTAGAATGTATCTAATAGTATTAATTCAGTCTAAATAATTATCTCGTATACAGGGATTTGTAACATTTCACAATTAAAGATTGTCCTGCAGTCAATCATTTGGCCTCGGGTGAGTCAAACTGATGAGAGTGAGGACAGCGATGACTTGGAATCAGAAACTACACAGGTGGCAGGGTTCTTCAGGCAGTTTGTGGAAGAAGGTAAAATGTCTGCATGGGAAATTTGATAATGATTATCTAATGGGATGAATATCCTACCTTTAATCAAGAGTGTATTTTGATGATTTGAGAGCATACATTTTTATTTTCATGCTTACATCTTGTGCTGCTTTCTCTCAAATCACTCTGTTCACAATCAACAAGTCCCTTCTTGCATTTAAATATATTTTTTCTGGCTTTCAAATTCACTGTCCTAGCATAGGACTCCCAAAAGGGTCACAGACAATAGCAAAAGGAATATACGGCTGGCCAATCAGCTCATCAGTCATCTTAACGCACGCATTTTCTTATCAGTAACAGAAACGACGTTTTGATAAAAGAAGACGTAATTAATTAGTTTGCTCGTTACTGAAAGAAATATTTTTATCAACGCGGTTATTTTAAACGGCGTTATTCCCATCACTGCTTAGTTGTGTCTACAGCAGGCAGTGACTGAGCCTGTGAGGGTCTCCGCCCACCCGGCCAATCATCGTCGTGTTTGTAAGTGCGTTACCGACACCTCTCTCTCCCTGGCTGCAGCTGAAGTGTGGCGGTCAGAAAGCCTCACACTGCTGCTCAACGTTCGACAAGCACATAGTAACGCACAACCTTCCGTCCCCAGTAACGGTAACGGTGTTGCAACGGCGGGAAAAGTAATTAATTAGATTATTCCGTTACCTATAAAAGAACGCCGTTAGAAACGCCGTTATACTTAAACGACGTTACTCCCAACACTGCTAATACCTATGATTCTTCAAGGGATGTGCTCAAAGAGGAGTTCAACATTATGAATAAAATATAGTGTTTTATTTGACAAATACCATTATAAACACAAACTTACGTCTTAAGAAACATTATTTTAATAACGAAACTGCTAAATTCTTTCCAACAGTATATATGTGTAGTGTATTTTGTCCGAGTGGGTTTGCCATACTTTGACGTCATCGGCAGTCGAAGGACCCCGAGCCGATCTTGCACCCGAGCAGATCTTGTACCGACACCAATTTCTGAGCCGCATTGTGGGGGCTTGGTTTGACCACAGAGAATAAATAACGGACACTAGGGGGTGCTAAAAGCAAGCAAAACTGCTTAGTATCCTTTAACAAACACACATGATACCAGCCAACACAAATGTGTCATCACATACATGTTAGGTAAGAGCTTCATCCTCCGCCCTACAAAACATCACATCCTGAAGTGAAGAGAGTCAACGTCTGGACCCTGAACTCTACATATTTCCACATGTTTATGTGTGAAAAGGACTGTGCATTAGAGTCACTCTCTTGTTGAAGCCAATCAGAAGATTTGTAGCTAAGAGTTTTAGCATGACTCTGGTGCTTCGTAGCTCTTTTAGATCAGTGTCTTTATGTTTGACGCTCTGAGGTTTGAGAGTGAGGCTACTCTCCTGCATCCCTGTTGGCTTGATGCTAGTAGATTAAAGGAGTAGATGTCAGGTTGCTCCTACCTATAACCCATTTGGTTTTGTTTTAATTCAATTCAAAATATTTTCTGCCATTTTCTCTGTCTAGAGCCAAAGCGCGTTCCTCCTCCAGTATCACCGAAGCCTCGCGGGCCTCTGACAGCTCCTAAACCCGGCAAAGCTGTAGCGTCTCCAGTTACCATGAGCCCGGCTGCAGCCAGTCCCACCTCGGCCCCTAAGCCTTCCTCTGTAGCCCCTCTTCCAGCTCCTGACACCCCCCTCCGGCCCCTGTCTGTCTCCGGGACTCCCTCCTACTTCCCCGTCTCCAGCTCAGAGTCCCTCCACTCCGTCGCCTCACCCCGTCAAACCTCCTCGCTCCTCCATCGCTGGCCTCTCTATTGACTTCCTGGGAGGAAGGGAGGTGGAGGAGGAAGAGGAGGAGGGGAGGAGAGCGAGGGAAGCAGAACACGAGGAAGAGAGGAAGCCTTCAAGGAGGGATGGAGCGAAGGAGGAGATGGTGGGTCACGTGGAGGAAGGGGAGAAAGAGGGAGAGATTCAGAATTGTTTGGAGGAGACCAGCGC